ACTTTTTTAGTGAACTTTTATTATATGCAAAATAACACACATATACAGTTTGTGAAATAATATTAAAAGACTTAAAAATTAAGAGTTCCTGTTCCATCATCTCTAATTGCAATTCTGCTTCCTAGAGGCATTTTTCTTCACTATTTGCCAATTTTTCAAAAACATATATACTGCTATTTAAAAACGTTATTTTAGATGTTATCTTTTGATTCTCACTATGGAAGATGAGGGCTTAGCTCTCTTACACATATGCATGCGTTCTCTCCCTCTCTCTCTCTCTCTCTCTCTCTCTCTCTCTCTCTCTCTCTCATGCACGCATGCGTACACACATGTTCCTTCCTCCATTCTACCAGTAGTTATAAGTTTTTATTAAATTGGCCTCAGGGTTTCCCTTCACTCTCACCCTGGGAATTTCCTTCACCTTTCTCCTATATCAAATCCTCTGTTTCTTAGAACTCAAGTTTTCCTTGTTTTAGATTTGCTCCTTTGTTGTGGTGGTGCAACTCCTCCGGCAATGTCCCATAAAAGAGTGCTTGCTTGGGAGATAAATTTTTTGAGACCTTATAATTCTCAATATAATTTATCTTTTGTATACGTTTTTTAATTCTGGGCATAGAATTATAGGCTGAAAATAATTTTTCTTAATTTTTTAAAAGTATTTTTCTGTTATCTTTTAGCTTTTAATATTACTTTTGAGAAATCTGATGTCACTCTGGTTTTTAACCTTTTGCATTATGACCTGTTTTATTTTTTTCTTTCTGGGAGTCTTTAAGGATAGTCTGTGTGTACCCAGTGTTCTGAATTTGTGTTTTTTAGTTCTGGAATATTTTCTTATTTTATATAGTTGATAATTTCTTTTGATTTTTTCTTTTTTTCCTGTAATACTCATTCAAATGTTTTGCATACTACTAAACTGAGTCTCTAATTTTCTTATTTCTTTCATATGTTTTATTTTTTGTCTTTTCTACCTTCTGGGAAATTTTCTCAACTTTATCTTTCTGCATAGGGTCTCTGTAACTGCAAAATGATATTCATGAAATAATTTATAGAGGCTTATTTATGATGTCATCTGCCCTCAGTATATTAGCAGTAATACTATTTGAAATTTTGTAATACTATCTGCAGGATGAGTATTAAGGACCTTGTCTAATCAGTTTAGACCTGTAACGTGTTCCACCTACATTTAATCAGCATTTTAAAATGAGAAGTTATATTCTGATTTGTAACTCTGAACATTGGAAACGTAATTCTGTACTGTACTTTTTGCCCATTATGGCAGTACATGGCATATCGCACCACTATAGTAGTTTTACTGCCAACGTGGTGTCCAGAACCCACTTCCACCAAAGACTCTCTTGAACCCTAGTGATCTATTGTCTCTCTGCATGTATATATCAGAGCAAGTAATTCTTGATAGGCATACACCAGGTGTTATGTTATGGGTTAAAATGGCAAAGAGAAGTATGGCTTCAAATATAAACTTCTTTCTCCACGTTTATATCATTCAGTAAAAAATTCAGTATTTCTAATTTAGGGCCTTCCTGTATATTGTTTACTTCAAATGAGGGAAATATGTTCTGTTACTATTTTTTTAAATTATATATGAGTCCTTCGAAAAGGGATATGATATGGACATACTAAAGGTAAAATATTGGAAGTGTTATGATCTTGATTTATTACTAATTCATGAGAATTCTTTTTATTTTTAAAATCTAGGATCTTCTTAATAATTTTATCAAGACAACTGAAAGTAATATAATGAAGCAGACCATTTGTAGTTACCTAGATTGTGAGCGATCTTGTGAAGCTGACGTTTTAAAGAACACCAATTATAAGGTACTCTGTCAATTAACTGAGTATTTTTAAACATGTAATTATAAAATTAAACTTAGATGGGCCGGGCGTGGTGGCTCACGCCTGTAATCCTAGCACTCTGGGAGGCCGAGGCGGGCGGATTGTTTGAGCTCAGGAGTTCAAGACCAGCCTGAGC